GTGTTCCTTGATTTCATTTTGGTTCAGGCCATCTGGATGGGATGGTTGGATCCGGGTTGGAGCTGATGGATATCTCGGCTGGACTTTTTCCCTTTGTCTGCCTGATTGCTTCCCCAACGGTGGCCTGCAAGGCGGGGTGTTCAGGTCCGGTGATGAGTATCTCGTCGGAGCCTTTCCCTGTCAGCCTGATGGTTCATGTCCTGTTCATTCTTTTCCGTTGATGGGCGCCGAGCCTGTCCCTGTCAGCCTGATGGTCCATGTCCTGTTTGCATCTTCAGTCGGGGTTTGCAGGGAGGGGTGCCCAGGTGCGGTGTGGAGTCGATGGGCATCTCGGCCTGGCTCCTTTCTTTGTTTAGCTTAATCATTCGTGTCCTGCTTTTTCTTTCAGGCTGATGAACGTCGCCTAGGGTCGTTACCGCCTGAATGGGTAGTTACTGCTGGGTTTGGGGAAATTCTTCGGCCACACTATATTTTATATACTTTTTACATTGTTATAAATCTAGTTATATACTTATTTATTTTTTCACGAATTTTTATCCAAGGTTACATTTATCACAGTAGTAAACCAAGACATCCAGTTTCTCAAATGGGAAATTAAACCAGGAAAATGAATTTCCTTCTCCCAGGGCCAAGGCCCTCAGGCTCAGATCCCTCCCACTGCAGCTCTGCATGGGAGGGACCCGACACCTGCCCAGCATCACAAACACATTCACTTGAATACTCAGCATCAAAAATTATGTGTGCACTGGCTTTTGGGGGATCTTCTGTACTGTGAGAACTTCACATGCCAAGACTAAGCACTCAGAAAGAGAAAATGAATAGCCAAGAGCAGGACTTCAGTGGTGTTTTCCATGCTTAAGGCAGAACAAATTTGAACACAGGTCCACAGTGTCCTTATTCCTACACTATTCCATCAGCCCTGAAAATTCCACATTAGGGGCAACCTCTCAGGTGAGCAACAAGGACCAACCTTAGAGACCAGATGAAACTGTGGCCAGACAAGTCTGTGACAGGCTCCCCAACACACAAGTACCTGAAGAAATAAGTAATTTCTTTTCCTAAATTTGATCCTGGTAACGCAAAGCAGTGTGACAGCAGTAACCCAGCTCTGGGCTTTTTGCCCCTGTTTAAACCTCTCAGTCTCAGTGATTTTGAAAATGCTCAGAGTATCTTAATAGATTGTCTAAAAATGGATCCCATATTTTCAGAGTAGACTGTGGAGGCAGTTAGCAGGTAGAAAAGATGGTCTTATTCTCCTTCCAATAGAGATAAAACTCACTGTCAAGAGTGTTGTAATGCTGCTGCCAATAATTTTTCCTCAAAAATCCCCAGATTTCTTCATGGTTGCCATCTGATGTCTTTGACTGGCATCAACATTCAGTCACTTGCTCTCAAACCAAGCAAAGCTGTCACTGAGATTGGGTTCTGGGGAGTAACTTTGGGAGCAATTTCCTTCCAAAACAAGTAATTCCATCTGCTTCCCTCTCCTCTCTCTGCAGGCTCCTACTATGGCACCAACTCGGGCAAAATCTGTACCACCCCTGGGTGTGTGACAGCAGGTAATGGGTTATTGTGAATTACTGCTGCAGAGGGGAGGCTTTAGGTGTTGTTACTGAACCTGAATAGGAGATAATTCACAGTTTAAGGCTGCAGTAGATGAAAATGAATGAGACTTCCCCTTGGGTAAGGAATATCATTCATAAGTAGCACAGGAAAATTGCCAGTGTGTCCAAAAACTCTGGCTCTGAGCCACAAGGCCATAAGACTGACCAACACAATCTGTATCTATAAGCATAATAAAATTCCCATTAGACTGAATTTTCTTTCATGGGGTATTTACCTTCTTATTTTTGGTAACTACATCTCAAGAAAGGTGAGACTCCAGCACAGATGTTTCCAATAGCCCCCTGGAAGCACTGATTTCTTGGGCCAGTACCTAAAATGGAGCACTGGGCACTCTTCCCTGCAAGGCCTTGTGCTCTGGGACTCCTCTTCTGCAATTCAGATCCATTTTTAAACAGAAAACAGGATTTCTCAAGTCATAATATGTGGGAATGAGCTTTGCCAAGCAGCTTCTTGAGAGTCTTCAGTAGTCCCAGAGATTCCAGGGCAGACTGTAGAATTCAGCTCTCCAATTTTGCTGCCCAGCTGCCAGAATAATCCAGAACATGGATCCCACAGCTGACCCGTGCAAGGATTTCTACCAGTACGCCTGCGGGGGTTGGCTGAACCGGCATGTGATCCCAGAGACCAGCTCCAGATACAGTATCTTTGATATCCTGAGGGACGAGCTGGAGATCATCCTGAAAGGTAGGGATGAGGCTGCTCCATCCCCAGGCACCTGTGTTTATTTCAGAGGTTACCAACTGCACATCAGACAGAGAAACAAACTTGCAAAAAAATGTTGGTCCTGTTCCCACTAAAAATTTGCCAGAGGTGATTGAGTACTAACTCAAAAAGGAGCAGGACAAGCTTTCTGCAGGTCCTTCCTTCTGACACTTTTCTCATTAATAGCATTAAGAGCTCTCTAGTTTGACAGTAATTGCACCTTACAAATGCTTCTCACAGCCCTGAATCCTCAGGGATTTCTGTAAAATGGACAAAGCTCTCCAGGACAAGCATCTCATGGCACTGGTTCCTTCCCTAGGTGTGCTGGAGACTTCAGATCAAGGGGACAGAGAAGCATTTCAGAAAGCTAAAATCCTTTACAAGTCCTGCATGAATGAGAGTGAGTGTCTTCTTGTTCCATCAATTGCCCTGTTCAAAACCAGGCATAGAGAAAAACCAAAGTCCTGTTAAGCAAAATCCAGTCAATATCTGTCTAATCCATGTGGCCGTGCCTGGAAAATTCATCTTCAGAAGGATGAATATGCCTTGGTATTTCATTAAACCTCAATATAGCCATCTGGGATGTGGAAAGGATGGATGTTGGGTACCCACCCCTGGTATGGATGCAAAGCCTATCATTCAGAAGGCACAAACCTGTCCCAGCTTATCTTTAACAAACAAATCCAGTCTAAACCAGCACTGGAGCCACAGAAATATTTTCATTCCTTTTCTGAAGACTAATATAGAATGGTTTCATGATATCTCTTATTTTTTGCTATGACACGTTCAGTTGCAAATTTAAGCTGTTAGGCCCATTACCTATTTTTCCTAATTTTATTTTTGTATGAAAACAATACAGAATTTGTCTTTCCTCCCTCAGGTCTTATAGAGCAACGAGATTCCCTGCCTCTGCTGGAGGCCTTGAGGATGGTTGGAGATTGGCCAGTGGCTTCTGCAGACTGGAGTAAGACCAAAGGTAATGCTAGGCCTGGAAGGGTTCAGTCAGAATTATCTACTGAATCAGGGAGGCAACTGTCACCAAATTAAATCCTCCATTTTCAGTTTCTCTTCCCAAAGAGAAGTCAGGGTATCACACATTTAACACTCATTGACCCATTTAAATAGATCTCCAAAATTTCAGCAGCCAGTTTGTGAACTGTACAACTTCAATGAGTCTGACACAGAATGACAAATTAAGTCTTTTTTCCTTTTTATCTCCCAGAACCAAGCTGGAGCATGGAGGAAAACCTTTCCATAATGAATTCCAGGTTTAACAAACGTGTCCTCATTGACATGTTCGTGTGGAATGATGACCGGGATTCCAGCAGACACATAATTTATGTAAGAAAAAACTGACAGGGGACTATTGATATGCCAGAATCACAATGGATAGTTATTTACACTGCAGACAGATGAGCTTCCCATAGAACAATAGTGGTAAAATGTAGGCAACATTTCTGAACCCCAAGTGTCAGATCTATCTCAAAGACATATTGGGAAATGGTTTATGGCAGCATAATTTTTGTTCCAGCAAAAGAAATAAGAATCAATGTAACTTTGTTGATTTACAGCATTTAAGGCCTGAAAATTCTTGTGACTTACAAAAATGATGATGAAGTTTAATATATAGTAGGAAACCATGGGTCTAAAATACATAGAGAGTATTTCAGAGTTTGTTCATTAATGGTTGTGCAAGAAGTCCAGCCCTAAAGCAAAGTAAAAGTGTTACTTAAATTTGTTCTTGGGTCTCCAAGATTACTGAAAGATTTTGCTTTATAATCCACACTAAGATCCACCCTGTCCTTACCTGGAAATCCAGAGATAGAGTTGTACTTTCCACCTGTTGTGGTTTTAAAGCAGTAACTAAAAAATCACTAGAAAACTTACTTATTTCTTGCTGTGAGATATGGATTAGAACAAGAGAAAAACAGGCTTAAAAATTAAAAGGAACAAAGAAAGTTTATTAACAAAAACTACAAAATAAGAAACCAGAATAAAACTTCTAGAAACCCCTTTTTCCCCCAACTACCCAACCATTCCCTTGTTCACATGACAACATAGAGACAAAAAAAAAAAACAACTTTGGTGGTTAAAATAGTCCCAATTCTTTCTATAGTCTTTTCATCAGTCTTTGTAGAGAAAAAGAAGTCTTCTTCTGCTAATCTATGGAGTTTTTCACAAGAAAACTATTTCTGTTATAGTTTTCTATTTCTCTGATGCCAGCTGCCCGGAAATCTGTCATCAGAGCTCACTCCTCCCATTTCACATCACTCTGAGGTGTGTTATGGGTCAATGAGTCTAGGGATGTCATTTTTAAGGATGAGTTATTCAAAGGCAAAAGTTCTCTTCATCTGTTTTTGTGAGCCTCTCCGGAAACAGAAGTTTTCTCTTTGCCTCTTAAAGGCCACAAATCTTCAACTATTACTTCTCCCCCTCTGTTCCAGCATCTCACAGGATCACAACCACTTCACCATTTGCTCAAAATCCACACTTTGAACACTCCATTCCTCCCAATATACTATGTCATGAATTAAAGGAGTTTTTTTCAGAACACTACTGTCCATCTCCATAGCTTTATCAGAAAAATATTTCAGCTTATTAAAGCATCTCCTTATTTTCTCTTCCCCTTATAAAACTTAATTCTTTTCTTCAGTGTCTTTGATGGTTTTATGGTGTCTCCTTACATGTTGATCATTTTCTCTCTCTCTTCCCCTCTCTCTGGGAAAAAAAGGATTAATCTGTAAGTCTCATCTAGGTAGTAAAAGAGTTAAAGTCTTGGAAATCTGCAGATCCTCATGGTGTCAGGTTTCAGTTTGGCGGCAGAAACTGCAAACCAAGTCAGGCCGGCCGGCTCCGCTTTTCTCCCCTGCCCTCCGCGGCCTTGTCCGGCCTGGTGAAGGTGGGGAGGAGGAGGCTGAGCCAGAGCCATGTTACCTCGTCAGAAGCCAGAAACCAAAGAGAGCAAGAAATTCCCGGTCTTAAGTCTTAAGGTGGTGTTCACAGGTTAATCTCACTTTTCAGTGGTTAAAACCACTGCCAATTCTCAGAAATGGTTAGTTATTGGTCAGGAGAAAAAAACTCCCATCAGCCTCCAGCAGTTTCAACTTCCTTAGCTCCCAAAGCTAATCTTACAGGTGCAGAACTTAATATATATAAAGCAGGCGACTGAGAATACCAGTATCATAAAGTCACCCCAGGACACCACCTCATCCAGATCCAGGAGAGCCCAAATTCTCTGGGTGCTTGGCAGTGGTGTCATCCCAACCCTGACAGGGTGGCACACACAGCATTTCCTGCTGCCTCTCGAGGATTTCAAGGATTCCTTTGGACAGCCTCAGTTCCTGTTCACCACTAACCAGAGAAATCCATTTTCTTTCAGATTGACCAGCCAAGCTTGGGAATGCCATCCAGGGACTACTACTTTAATGGGGATAACTATCAAAGAGTAAGTATCCCTTGTACTGATTTACTCTGTGCCACTAAAACAACTTTATTCCTTATCCCTGTGCTTTCAAAAACCCCAATACATGAATCTTCATGCTATGCAACAATCAGAATTAGACTGTGACATTCATCGCTGTATTTTTTCCTAATTAAGCCAATATTTTTTAAAGTTTATATACTTTAACTGTATAAATATATTTTATTATTATATATATTATACAACTGCATAAATGTCAAGCCTCCCCAGAACTGGCTGCCATGGTGGGATGGATGTCAGGGGTGCCACAACCTTCCTGAAAAAGTGTCCTCAGAAGGACGGCTCTCAGTGGCACAGGCACGTCCCTATCCTGGCCCGGCAAGCGGTGACTGGCTCAGCAGCAGCTCCTTCCCAGGTGACGCAGGGAGAAAAAGGACTAGAGCTCTGGCTAGTGATTCCACAGAGAAATCACTTCAAATCAAATTTGAAATCAAATGAGAAATCAAATCTGCTCTCTGCAAAGGGGGCTAGCACAGAAGCGCCGCTCAACTGGGATGAAAAACCAGGGTTTATATAGGGAAGGAGAGGGGTGGGGGAAACTTGGATACAAGTAACAGGATGGAATGGCAGAGAAGAAAACAAATGGGATACAATAAATCAACATATAATTTGCAAGGGTCTCTGGGAGGGACACTTTTCTCACTATGACAGAAAGTGCCTTGCCTATGGAGAAGCTCTCCAGGGGAGCTCCACAGTTCTTTTGCTGGCCAATTCTTCAGCCCTCACAGCTCCCCCTTCTTTATTTATTAAAAAGGCCTCTCCCAAGACTTTGCAATCAAACTTCTAAAACAGCTGAACATGCATAAAAAAATAATGATAATTAAAAGAATCCAGAAAATGTTCTTTAGGAGGGAGGCAACCCATCCCTTGAGTCCCCAACTTCCAAAAAGGTCCTCGAACCATTGGGGCTCTTTCTCTTTTTTGAGTTCCTGGACCATGTTGCTGATTTTCTGGATGCACGTGTGGATGCTCTCACCATGGTTGGACAGGTTGAAACAGCACAACCCGTCTAATTCCTCGCAGCTGTGTCCATGGGCAAGGAGCAAGAAGTCTATTGCAGCACAGTTTTGGTGCGCTGTATGCCTAAACATCTCTTCATCAGCCAAAAGGTGACTTAGCACAGAAGAGATCAAGTTGGCCTGCTTATCAAGCCAACACTCCAGGTGAGGAAGCTCACCAAGGGCTTTAGTAGCACCTACCCAAGGTTAAAAGGCTGACATTACCACCCTCTTTGTATAGGACCAATCTTCAATTTAGCTATCACAATTTTCATCTAATTAAGTAAATTCTCTTTTGACGGGCCAATTCATTCTTTTTCTGCCGATTGTACATCAGGGTTGAGTTTGGAGTGAGAATGGTAAGCTGGCCAAGTGTGCAAGGACTTCCCTGGAGTCGGGAAGGGATTCGTGCCCACACTCTATCCCCACAGATTAAGAACACTCCCCGGGGTAGCATTTTTGGACGACAAGAGGAGGTGGACTGTGTACTGCTGGTATAATTGCACCACTTGAATTCATTGTAAATTTTACTGTCTGGTGAGACATTTTTCTTTGTCTGGATCACCCTATAATATTTGGAGACAGGCCACACTTGCCTACTGGGAGGTAGTCAAAATTTACACATTAAGTGGCCTTGGAGGACCTCAAAATCTCCAATTCTTGGGGTTCCTCTGGTGCATGAGGCAAGATCCCTGTCCCCTCATCCCAGGTGTCTACCAGGTTGCGTTCTTTCCCTGTGAAAGGATATTCATGGGGCTTCAAAGGAACCCCTACCAGGCATGATGACAGAGGGTTGGTGGCGCTGCTCATGCACAAGCACGTATGGTCTTGCTTGAGGGTCTTTGCGAGAATGATCCACATGTTTTCTTTGGGCTGTGCTACCAGCCAGGCATCCACGACCGATGTTTTCAGGAGCATCCAGAGGGTCAGGAACTAGAGGATGGTTTTGCTTTCCATTTTCTATAACAGATTATAAAAAGATTAACTGATTTTGGAGTGGGGTTATTTTCCTTTTCCCCTTTCTTCTCTTGTCTCCCCCCTTTTCTAAAAGAAAAGCTATATAAGAGGAATGGGTATTGGGGATGAGGTAGTTGACTTCTGGTGGGGTCATTTTGTCTGAAGGGGACACATGACCAGTCACCAGCAGCAGCAGTATTAAGGTGCATTGTAGTGCAAACATGCAAGGGGTTAGCATTTGGGTAGGTGTTTAGGGGAAAAAGAAGGATAGGGAACAGGAAGGGAAAGGGCAAAGGAGTTTCAGGGGCTTTGCTTATCCAGCATGTTTTCGGCAGTGATCTGTTGTTGAACTTGATCTCACTTGAGATCTGGTAGCGACTGGAGCAATTCTCTCTGGCGACCTCTTTCGGCTACATCTCTGTCTCCAGGCAGTGGTAGCTTGTTGGTTTTTAGAACCTGTGTGGGTCTCAGAGGATTCTGATTGATCTGGTTCTGGTGCAGGGTTTGCAGGGCCTAGGTATGGTTTGGTATTTTTCCCTGGGAGCCACTTAGGACCCGATGGTGTGGACACACAAGCATACCCTCTCCCCCAGGTAATCAATGGGAAAGGTCCTGATGTCTGTTGTGATTCGGGGTCCTTGATCAGCACTGGCGGCTCCTCTGTTTGTTTGGCTTGGGTCGAATTGGAGAAGTGCCTTATTACAGGGGCGTCAGGCTCTGTAGGTGAACAATTCAGAAAATTCATGATGTACAAAGCCTTACAGAGCCTCTCAGTGGGAGGGATGATCTCTGTTCCTCCCTGCTGCTGATCAAGGACTCTCTTGAGATTCTGATGTGTCCTTTCTGCAACTGATTTCCCTGTGGGAGAGTGAGGTATGCCTGTGGTGTGCTTCACCCCCCACTGGTTGAAAAAGTCCCTCAGTCTGTGAGAGGTGTAAGTGGGCCCATTGTCTGTTTTAATCTGTTGTGGAACTCTGAGGGTAGCAAACGCGAGGACAAAATGTTGGATGGTATGTTTGGCATTTTCTCCTGCATGGGCTGAGGTGAACACTGCACCAGAAAATGATTCCACCAAAACATGGACATATTTGACTCTCCCAAAGGTGGCAACAATTGCCCTGGCCTGATCCCTGGGTAACTTGAACATCCTCATTAGAGCAGGAATGTTCTGATAGTAAAATTGATGGGACAATTTCTCCTGGGCAAAAATGTCTGGAACAATGGCTGCTCCAGCAGGCATGGCTAATGTGTCTGCCTTCTGATTACCTTCCACAGTAGCACCTGGGAGGTCGGTGTGTGACCTCACATGCATAATATAGTAGATTGCTTCCTGTGGGAGATAAGGTATATTAACTCAGAAAGCAACTTATACAAATTTGGGTTAGAGACTTCTTTTAGAAAGGCATGTTCTGCTCTCATAGCTATTCCAGCCACTTATGCCGAAGCAGTTATCAAGTTAAAAGGTTCTCATAATTTTTCAAAAGCTCTGACAACGGCTGCTAATTCAGCAATCCATGGTGATCCTTCGATCACTTGGACATCAGACTCCCGCTTCTGTGTCCTGGGGTCCTTCCAAGTCATGACTGACTTGTGGGATTTCCCCGAGTTATCAGTAAAAACTGTCAGAGCCTTGAGTGGTGCTTTACTGAGTAATAATTTGGGCACCAGACTGAACATGGACTTGAATAATTTGTGGCCAGGTGGGTGTATGGAAATTTGGCCTGAGTAGCTATCGAGATCGAACTGAAGGCTCTCATTGGTTTTGAGTAAAGGCTCCAAATCCCCAGTTGTCAATGCAAAGAAAATGCATGTGAACTCACACCCTGCAAGAGTGCGGAGGCTGGTTCTAGATCTTTTAATGAGTTCAGCCATGATTTCCTGCAGAGTGGTGATAGTTTTGGTGGGCTGATTGTGTGTGAAGACCCACTCGATGATAACTCATTGAAATATGAGCACATGTAAGCACGGGGTCTTACCTAGGACAATCAGTTGGAAGTTGGGTTTGAAACGGTGGGCTTGCCACAAAGACAGGGCCTCCTGGACCTTAACGATGGCATCCCAGGCTTCCAGTGTGAGGGTGCGTGGTGAGTCGAGGTCCTCGCTGCCGCAGAGCAGATTGAAGAGGGGCACAAGGACATCCATCATAATCCCAAGCAGAGGACGGACCCAATTGATGGACCCACAGAGTTGGTGTAGATCTCACAGGGTTTTGGGTTCATCCCCATGGTCAGCTTCTGGGGTACGACAATCCGCTCACAAATCCAGAGTCCCAGGTAGGTCCAAGGGCAGGTGTACTGGATTTTGTCCTCGCGGATTTCAAACCCAGCGTCCTTAATTGTCTTTATAGTGTTATGTAAAGTCTGTTGTAGATAGTCTTTGTCAGAGGCAAAACCAAAAATATGGTCCATGTAATGCAATATTATTGCAATTGGGAACAGGACCCTCACTGGGGACAGGATGCAGGCTACATACCATTGGCAAATGGTAGGAGAGTTCTTCATCCCTTGCGGGAGAACAAGCCAATGGTACCTATTTAGAGGTGCCTGTCTGTTTTGGGAGGGTACAGAAAATGCAAACCAGGGGGCGTCTCAAGGATGGAGGGAGATGTTAAAAAAGCAGTCTTTTATATCTATGATTGCGAGCTTCCAGTCCCAAGGAATCATAGAAGGTGAAGGCATGCCGTGCTGGAGGGGACCCATATCCACAAGGACTCATTTATTTTTCGAAGATGGTGGAGCAGCCTCCACCTGTCTTTGCCTGGTTTTCATAGGACAAAGACAGGGGAATTTCAAGGGCTGTTGGTTTCTGCGATGTGGCCCTTGGCAAGCTGCTCCTCCACAAGGGCTTCCAGTGCATGCAGTTTGGTGTCAGAAAGGGGCCACTGATCAACCCACACTGGATGGTGCTGTTTCCAGGTGTGTCGCATCTTGCTGGAGCTTATCTGGCTCTATCACTTCAGCCTGTGACAGGAGTGGGTCACGCCCCAGGAGCAGGATGACCCCAGGTGAG